AGTCTAAATTAGTTTCCCCTCACGGTCAGACAGTTCAGGTCAGGTCACACTGGGTTCAAGGTGCGTAGATTTTTTTTTTTTATTTCTGTACGTCATGGGAAACGTTTACGATCCCGCGACACACCGAGAGGCCAAATCTTTTAGCTTGTCAACGTTTTGTTTGTTTGTTTTTCTGAACACCCTGCGATGCCGCAGAGGTGAGGACATTAAACGAACCTCACAGTACGGAGATGGGGCCGGGGGGTTAACGGGGTAAGACTGGTTTTTTCACCGAGGACAGTGATGTCAGAGCTGACGTGGGCTCATGGGAAATAACACGTGTGTCACACCTGTGGAGCAGTGGACTCCTGGTGTGGGGTTTGATTCCGGGTTGAGACGCTGCAGGAATGTGTGTGACATCATCATCCTCTTATGTGAAATTTCGACTAGTCCGTCCTTGCTGGTCGCTGGTCATCTGTGGTTAAAGTACTAGTTAGTGACATTACCAATGAGACAGTTTTATTCCTCAGTGGAAAAAAAAATCTGGAACAATGTGTGTGGCACACCAGTAGGGGGTGCTGTTGTCTGACGCCTGCAGGGTTGTAGGTCAAATTCCAGACTTTTGAGGTTGTATGGCACCCCCAGGTGGTCGGGAAAACTTTTAGAGCCTTGGAGTGGTCACTTCAAGGCTCTACATGGTCCAGACCAGTGTTTCCGAAACTTTTTTCTGGCGACCCATATTTTAAAAGTCACAAACCTTCGCGACCCAAGTCAATAGACATTATTCGTAAATTCCCACCTGAGGGTCGCGACCCAGTCTTTGGGAACCATGCTCCAGACTGACTGCTCCAGACTGACTGGTTTGATCCAGCTCACTCCTCCGTCACCGTCTCTTTGTCGTCATTCAATTATTTTAACAATTATTTTTAATAGCGCGTCGTGGTCAGGCCGAGCTCAACGTCGTCACGTAATTATTGTTAGGTTTCGCACATTCCAGTAAAGACGAAAAAAAAAATTGTTTCATGAAGCGCTCACTCGTATTTCGATACCCGATCACTGACGTTTCTTCTAGAAGATTCTGCTGCTGTGCATGATGGTCCATTTCCCTGCGGTGATGTGTCGACAACCTCACAACTCTGTCAGGTCAAAAGGTCAGAACTAGGGAAGCTAGGCTACTACCTCCCCCCCCCCCCCCCGAAAAAATATTTTTTATTGTCGAAGCCACAACAAATCTCCCA